GCATACGACCATGCATGCATGCATCCATAGATACATGCATACATGCATGCATGGGTTCAATGCATACAGACACAATTACACACTCACATACCTTCATATATACATACATGCATATATACATATACATGTACATGTACATGTACTTACACATATACATAAACATATACCTACAGACATACAAACATACATACACATACATACATGCATGCCTACATGCATACATACAAACAGACATACAGGCATACATACGGACAGACAAATGGACGGACAAACGGACGGACAAACGGACAGACTGACTGACTGACTGTTAATGCAACTGGCCTGGGATGACGGACCACTGAGCACAGGACATGTTCGACCGGGACAAAGCACCACCCCTGCCAAAGAATCAGCTGGGCTTCTTGCAGTTTGCCGGAGCCTCAGCTTCGGGATACCGTTCCCGCTGATGCTGGATCTACGTATCCGCATTCCTCTAGATCCTCGAGACTCTAGTGCATCCAAAATCCTGGAGCATGGTTACGTGTACTATGTCGTTGCAGCACCGCCTTTGGGTTCATGGCTCGTCCGGTGTTTCTCAAAGTGTGGTGATCCTGGGGCATCCCCGGGGCTGCAAATCAAGACGGCGGGGCGGGGGGGGGGGTTCAGATTTGCCGGCGCACAGGTCATTCAACCGCTGTGGAAGCCAATGGAGGCAAGAGGGAGTCAACTCCGACAGGGTTGGGTTGGTCAAGCTTTTAGCGTGTTCTGAACGACCCGTGGAAGAAGGAACTAACGACCCTTGACTTGATGCCTAAGCCCCAGCGCCAAGGCAGCAGGCAACAAATCTTAAACTCAAAACCCCGAATCTCGCGATGACCCTCGCCTGCCTTCATTCGTTGTGAGCCCATTCGGTTGTGTCTAAACCATCCCAGATTTGCAGTGGGGTGTATGAATGTGTTCCCCCTATGAACCTGAGTAGGAGAGTAGGTGACCTTTAACCTTTTCGGGGTCATAGTCCCCGTAGGACACTAGACAAGATTAGCATTATTCTTAGTAGTGTTGTTTTAATCATACTATGATTTGAATGCTTTCTTCTCCTGTCGAGGAGCTCCTGGCCCAGAAAGGGCGCCCCGCCAACCTTTTCCTGCAGCGCAACATCCGGGCCCGGTCCCTGTGGGCGAGCTATTTTTGTAGGGCTTTCTGGGTTTTTTAGATTTATGTACAGTGCTTGGGGATTCAAAAGGCTTTATAGGGCTTCTATCCTTTTGCAGGGTTTTACGGCTTATATGGTTCGTAGGGATTTTGGTTTCTAGGGTTCAGGGTCCCAGGCTGGGGTTCAGACTACTTTGAGGCTCTCAGTAGGGCGTTTTGGAATCTCTATCTGTTGATGTTTCAACGGATGCATTGGGGCTTGTAGGTTTCAGGGTTTAGAAGAGAGGACCTCATGCTGCTATCCACAGCTTTTCCTACGAGCTTTTGCTTTAAGAGGGGGTGAGAGTTGCATGGGTGTCGGCCGACAGCTCAGTCTGTGCTGAAAAAGGGCTTCAAGCTTTGATTTGAACCAGGTTTCAGGGTTTGAGGCTTAGGGTTTAGGGTCATGTAACCAGGCTGTGTATGGGGGCATGTTCACTGCAGCCCCTCCTCACAACAAGGGCTTATGTAACGCTGTTGAAGGCTTTGGGGGCTAGGTGAGGCAATTCTTCCTAGTTGTGAGAGACCGTCCGCACTCTGAGTTGGGTTTGCTTGCTTCGTAGATTTAGCAGATGTGGCGCTGTCCGATCTTTCTATCTACCCACATGTGGGAAGTATTCGTGGACTCCGGCCGGCAATCGCCAGGTCGCTCCCGTGATTTCTTGCGACCCGTTAAAAGCGAGTTGAAGCTCTTATTAGGGTTTGTGATTGTTGGAAAATTTGTTGCCATGACTCTTCTATTGAGTCCGCAAAATACGACTGCTCCCCTGGCAGGCTTGGCAAGAGCAGATCGAAGCTACAGCCAAGCGGGTGGATCGCACGGTCCAGAAGAAGCTTTGACAAAATTGGGGTTTGGGCTACACCTAGGCTGGCGGCTTGCTTTGCTAGCTCTTTCATTAAGATGTCGAATTCTGGTTTGGGGGGTGTGTGAATGAGGAGTCTGGAGCACACTCCCTGGAGGTGCTGTGGGGTGAAGCAAAGCAGTCGAAGTACAGGGTTTTGGGGTCGGTTCAATGCTCCATCGACCAACTTGGGGTCCTGGGTCTAACGGAGGCTTGAGAAAAGTAGCCTGGGGGACTGAAGATGTTGTTGTTTGCGCACGCTGTATACAACACAGGGGATACAGCAGCGGAAACCGTTTGCTGCTTCCGTGAAGAAGGCTTGGCCACTTATTAATATAGTCACATGATATTACTGCTCGAGTCCAGACGTCTGAAGCCACCAAGGCTCAAACATGTTTGAACACATAATGACACAGTCCAGTTAACGCTTAAATCGGCTTAAATTCTGAAGCGACTCCCGAGGTCCAAAGCCCCAAGAGATCCTGAACCCCTAAACCACAGCCATCCTCGTTTGGCATGATCGAGCGTCAGTGTCAAAAACCCGTGAGTAACATGGAAACTTGGGCAAAACAAACCCTGAATCCGAAAACCCTAAGCCCTGAACCCTAAACCCTAAAACCCTGGGAGTCCGAGTTGCGAGAGCATCAAACCCTAGGCCCTATAAACCTTGAAACCCAAAACCCTTTGTGCGAGTGTGGGCGCCGAAACCGTAAACCCTGCATAGCCCGAGTTGTGAGAGTGTAATATAGGGGCCTTTATAGCTACCTATACTATTTTGGGGGCTCCTTATTATAACTATAGTCTAATGTGCCCCCTCTATTCTACTTATTCAGGCCCCTATGTTACACGCTTCAAGCTCTTCTCTTGCATCTCAGGCGGCCCACTGAGGTGAACCAGGTTGACCTTTAGCAGCGACCTGGGTTGTTCGATTTCAGGAATCGGATTGACTTGGGTTTAGTATTTAGAGATCAAACGATCTCTAGATAGTCCAACCGTGGGGCTTGCAGGGGTTAATCAGGGATTTTTCGCCGCAGGTTGGATTCCTTTTAAATGGAGGTTGATAGTTGCACAAACAGAATCCTTGATCAAGGGTCTAGGCCACCCGATTTCAGGCCTCGGGGTTTGCTCCTGGCCGGTGAACCCGCGAGGCCTTAAAGAGTCAGGGCATCGGAAGACATTGCATGCGTAGTGCTCAGTGCTTATAACTTCTAAGTCACAGACAGGTTTCCGACACCCGAACGAGAAACCGAGCTCCCGAACCCCATACTGGCACTACACTGTACAGGCATGTAGCTCTATGGTGCTCCGTGCTCTCTAGACCTCGAGCCGCAAGACATAAACCAAGCATGATCTATATCGATAACCCGATGTCCAGTCACCTGCGCAGAACAGCCCAGCTCTCTCGCCCGAGTCGCCTGCCCTGAAGAGGGCTGGGCTGGGCCATGCATATGCTGGAAAGAAGATCACGGTCTGTCCCAGCGATTAGAACCTCCATGATTCTGATTGGCCTTCGACCGCTGCCTTGCAGGAGCTGTGGTTCTGCATATCGCAAACTTTACGGCACGGTTCCGTACATTAAGGTACGATTATCAAGATACCAGAATGGAGCCGGAGATGACCCAAGCAGTTCAGGTTTTCGTTAGGACCCCCACAAGCTGAGTATTCCGAGATGCTAAGCTGTTCGGGACTTGGAAGAAGACGCCCTGCATGCGCAATGCTAATTAGCTTTTGTTCGTACACTTCAAATTTGCGGCTTTGCCAAAGCTACAGGCAGACAACAGACTTCAAGAAGTAGCCGCACCGAGCCAACTGGTGATGCTGGCTCCGGGACCCATTCATTAGTGAAGATGCATTCCTCGCGAATAGCCTGCAGTCGGGACCGGCCCGATCTTGAATTCCGGCTTTTTTCCGCCCGAATTGGCATTTGAGGTGATCCCGCGATGTCTAAAGACACATTCGAGATCGTAGCTGCTGATGTGAAGGGGTTCTGGAACCGCGCCTGTGGTCAACTATCCTCAGTTCGAAGTCTCGAGGTTTTCTTCAGCATGCAAAAATCTAGGCGAGATATCCCCGGCTTCTACCACCCGTAACTCCGTCGATTTACAGCTTAGGAAGTTTGCCCTGTGAGTCAAGGCGTCATTACTGTCTCTGCCGGGCTGGGAGCTACAAACTACCCGTGGCTTAAGGCTCTGACCATTGGGAACCTTCGTTCATTTCCAGTCAGTTCCCACGGCCTTCAGCATGTTACTTCTTTGGTTTTACGGTATCCTGCCGCTCGGCGAGACCCCCTCCGCACCAGCAACTCGAGCCTGGTTTTGCGAATCGGTGCTAAGCGCCGGTTGTTTATGTCCTCCGAACAACTCGAGAGGTCTGGCAAAGCCGTAGGGGCTTTTCCACCTTGCTCTGAGCACGACTAGTTTTATATTGTGCAGTTGTGACCATTACGAGCACTACTACCATTTGCCACCAGTGTTGCTGTTGTGTCTGCCATAGTTGTGGCAATTCTATGCATGATATTGCTGCTCTTCATGAAGTGCGCATGTCATCCATTGCATCAAAAGGAGAGCGCAACTTGTGTTTGTGTTGCACATCTGCTCCACCAGCGTCCCGCATGCCTGTGGCAACTCGAGGATCCTGGACCGACTCAGCTCTCGTGTTGGGGTTTCGGGGTGCACTACGTACGCACAGGTCATGCATATGCTGCACCTCTATCTCTTCCATCCATCCATCCATCCATCGATCTATCTGTCTGTCCGTCTATCTACCTATTTATCTCTTTCGCTATTGCTATGGCTACCTACATCGTTTATGTATCTGTATCTTTGCATGCCTGCATAAATCGGTCATTATGGATGGATGGATGGCTGGATGGTTGGATAGGTAGCTCGCCAAATTGGGGTCCTTTTCTTACGGGTGCTGCCTTCTTCTGGGTTCCTCAAACGGGACCCTAATTTAGAGAACTACCCAGATATGCCCAGAGTTGTGCAGGCAAAGTGCGGGAGCTTGACCTCTTTAGGACACGCTCGGGCACCCAGTGACACTGTCATGAGGCCATGCCCCGAGACTTCGGGATGTTCAGGGTTTTATTATGGCTTCCAAGTGTTTGGGTTTGGAGTACTTGGCATAAAGGTTTCTTGTTAGAGAGCTTGGAGTATGTATAATATATATATATATATATGTATATATATTTTTTGTTGTTCTTCATGGGTCCTTGGTTAAGGATCTTTACTATAAGGTTTTGCATGTCTTCCTTCATTGAAGGATCTTGGAATCTGTGGGCTGCAGGGGTGCAATCTGTAGCATCTCATGCTTGGACACGGTCAGCCAAGTTGGAGCCGTCAGTAATCGACCAGAGTGGATCAGAAGGCAGAAGGGCTTGCCGGAACTTTGAAGAGCCAAGCTTGAGGTGGTGGCGATGAGGAAGAAGAAGCTGAAGGATTACTGCTAGGCGCGGAGCTTCTTCGAGACTTCAAAGGAATGTGCATCGGGGAGTAGTGTCGCTGTAGCTCGGTCTGCTCATGGCCTATGTCGTCTCCAGGTCGGCGTAAGCATCTGGAGAGTCCTCAGTTTATGTCCCTTCACCAGTGGCCTGGGCACAATGCCGACCTAGCTTAAGCTTTCACAAAACATGTGCCGTCACTTCCGAGTGTGGCCCTAAAACCCTCAGCCTGTTGCACCTCAACACCCCAACAAAGGACCCCAAACTGCCGTAAACCCGAAACCCGATGAAGCACCCAACCGCAGGCTTCTACCCGCGGGACCTGGACCCACGACGGGCTTTGAGAGGCCGGGTCTTTGCATGTTGGCAAGTCCAGGAGTCCAGGGCTTGGGGGGTTGAAGGGGTTGGAGGTATTTTCGACTCCTGCTCGCCGAAAAGGCACATGTACCACCCGACAGTTGGTGCCAGTTTGGTGCGTCTTTGAGTTTCTCTGAAAGATGAACACTAAGGCTAAGGAGCATCTGCTTCTTAGTCCTGGGGTGGACATTTTTGAGCTCACATCAAGAGAGAGACCGCGCTACCTCATGCTAATAGAGAGCCTATTGAGTAGACCTTTGAAGCTCCCAATTCCATCATCTCAACTACATGTCTGGGTGCTCTTCTTGCGACAGATTCGCAAGTTGTTTGTTTGCACGGGGGGCTGTCAGCCTCGGAAACTTCTCGTTCAGCCATGTTGGAGTCTTCGAGACTCTATCGGACCCCAAGCCACCCATGTGAAAGCAAAGTTTCGGCCTATGCCATGAATTCATTGAAGGCTTCAGTCTCTGAGATAGCAAGCACCCCTCGGACCCAAGGTCGTAAGCCAGGCGCGAAGATCAGGCTGTATGGGGTTGTTCGCGCCTTGACCACCCAACATGCAGGCTTGATTACCCGGGCACGGACCAAGCAGGAGAAGGCGAACGCAGAGGTGAGACGGGGCTACTGAGTGGTGTTTCGTTCCCTGGCTTTGGTGCGACGCGGGCGTCCGAATTTGCTCGCAGCTTGCTGCTGTACCCATTACGACGTCCCGGCTGAGTGCTGAAAAGCAAGCAAGTATCGCAGCAGTCTGCTTTGTGTAGATTTGTCACGACATCCTTTGGCACAGGCACGGCTGGAAGAGATCATGGGCCAAATCCACGAGTGTCGCGCTCTGCTTGTCAGACAAGCACTAGTATGGCATGTGTATATTGTAGATGATATTGTCGTTATCGTTGCTTACCAATGTTGCATGTGTTATACGATCATGGCTCTTGTTGTGCATGGCATACCAGTGTTTGGAATACTGCTGATTTGGCGCTCAGTGCCATCGTTGTTACCAGACCCATGGCCCTACTTTGCCTACCATCTCCGTCACTCTGGACCAGCACTTGCACATCAAGCTTTATGAGCCTGCTTTACCGCCACTGCTAGTGCTATCTGTCGACAGTAGTGCTCGCAGTAGCAGTGGTGGTGGTGGTGGTGGTGGTGGTGGTGGTGGTGGTGGTGCTCGTGGTGCTCGTGGTGGTGGTCGCGGTGGTAGCAGTCGTAGTTGTAGTCGCTGTCGTAGTTTTTGTAGTAGTAGTCGTCGTCGTCGTCGTCGTAGTAGTAGTAGTAGCAGTAGTAGTAGCAGCAGCAGCAGGAGGAGGAGTAGTAGTTGTAGTTAGTGGTCACAGCAGGAGTAGGAGTAGTAGTCGTCGTGGTGGTGGTGGTAATCGTAGTAGTCGGCAGAGCAGCAGCAGCAGAAGCAGCAGCAGTGGTGATGGCAGTGGCATTCGTCGTCGTAGTCGTCGTCGCCGTCGTTGTTGTTGTTGTTGCTGCGCTGTTCTGGTCCTTCTGGCAGCATTCTTTAACTAGTGCTCCTAGTTGCTAGTAATTAGTAGCCGCAGCAGTAGAATGAGCTCTCTTGTAATCTCAAGGATGACGACGGGAACTGTCAACCTTCAAGCCTCCGGCGGCCTTCTAAACTCTAAGCATCACAAGAAGGATTCAAAAGCCGTGACATCAATCAACATCTCCGAGAAGGTACCGTGAAGCACCCAACACTCCAAGCTGCATCAAAGCCAGAACCACCTGACAACCACGAGCCGCTCTTAGAAATTCTGGAACTATGATCACTGCTGCATCCTGGCTAATATTGTGACTCAAGACCTATGTGCACAAGCACATTAACAAAGAGACATCGTTCGTTTAGATAGAAGGAGCATCAGTGCCTCTGGCAGTTGACCGTTCTTGTTTTCTCTTCCCCCTGCTGACAAAGCCTCTTGGTGCAGGCTCCCGCTGGACAGCATCACCCAAGTGCAGCCAGATCCTCAGGGAATACCATGTTTGTGGTGTTTCAGGGTTGCAGCCTAGGCACAGACGGCCCTGAAAGTCTTCATCGGTTTCGGATGGTTTTCATACTACGACGCACTGAGCTTTGGTCCGGGTTCTTCGGTTGCCTTTCAGGCCCGGTCTTTGCACGTTCGGGCTTTTGCGGGCATGTAAGTGTGAAGTATCTTAGGTTAGATGGTCCTCGACATTTGCCGAATGCCGAGTTCCACTTGTGATGTGCGTTTATGCCGTTTATTACACTTTAAACTCAAGCAGCAAGCAATGTTTTCTGACCCGCCAAGGTGATCTTGATCAACTTGAGGTTATTCTTGCATCGTTATCGGAAGCTTCACCCCCAACACATGTTTAACTCAACCTTCTATGACCACTGTCAGTTTGTCCTTCGCACCTCCCCAACCTGTCTCGGGGGATACTAAAATTTGCTTGGTTGGGCAAACCACCAGGAGCTGGCCAATACGCCCTCAACAACCTTCAATACTCTAGTAAAGGACAGTCTAGTACAGTATAGTATAGTTCAAATATACTTTAGTACCTCATAGTGTAGTTTAGTTTAGTACGTTTAGTACAGTATAGTATACTGTAGTCATAATTATTAGGGTTTAGAAAAGTACAGCATAGTATGATTATAGATAATGCAGATAGCCATCAAAGTCGGATATAGTGTACAGAATACTGTAGTATACTGCAAGAGAATATGATATCTAGCATTAAATTCCAAGGCGCAGCCTCTCATCCCTTCAAGATGCCTTGCGGTTTGGGGAGGAAGCTGGCCCGGGCCCAGAACGATTTGAGGCTTTCGGTTTGCAGGGTCTGTGGCCTTGGTGGCTAGGGTAAAGAGGGGATTTAGGGCTCCGAGTGTAGGGCCGAGGGCTTAAGGTTGAGAGGTTGAGGATGTAGGAGGCCTACACTGTATGGGCCTCAGTCGCGATGATCTGGCTAGTCCTCACGTCCGGAGTCAACAAAGGGGGTTTTAGGCCCCATCGTTGAGCGTTGAAGGATGTTGAAGGCGTTTGTTTTGTGAGCTCGCGTGCTCGCCTTGCGTGCAAACCCACGCCGGCACTTTGTGAGTATAGGGTCTCCAGTAAAATGCCATTGAAACTGACATTCCGCGCTTGTGAGCTTGGCGCAGTGCCGAACACACCTTTTTAGCTTGCAGCTGTCGATTCCAACTTTTGAACGGGTGCCGGTAGAGAACTGGTGAAAGAAGCAAAACCACGAGTTCTTAGTGGAGCGAAGTCAGCAAGACATCCCTGGATCTACACCCCACTTAACAGAGGTGCGTCGGCAATTCTCATGTTCGCAGCAGAGGACCAGGGGTTCCGAACTGCTTCATCATAAGCTCCAGGGTGGGAGGAAGCTTGAGGGCATCAGCTCAAACCACAGAAGCTGCAGGAACTTGTGAGGCATGACCTGTGAGGCACGTCTTGTGGCTCCGGGACAGGTTTCTTGGCCTTAATCAGACCCCCACACTCTGGTTTGATGAGTTCAGTTCTCACACCAGCTGTTTGTTTTGCGTTTCTCATGTCACACAGCGTTCACCAAGCGAGCCATCCAAGTTCCTGGCCGTCAGGTCGGTGTAGATTCTAATTGTAGTTGTTCCTTGAAGCCTTCCTGAGCATCCTGGGCAATCTGAATCTAGCTGCTTCCTTGCCTTTCCTGTTCAGCTTCAGTGTCCGCAGACTCTTGACCGGGTAGCCTGCTCGAAGGCTGATATTCTGCGATCACGGTATCCCGAAATAGATGAACCAAGAATCTTCCAGCGGAATAGCGAGTTTTTTGAGTGCAGGGCCATGTGCTTTCTCAGTGGGCAACCCACCAGTCAACCAGAAGAGAGCAAAGCTCCGGACCCTAAGCTCGCAACAGGCAGAAAGTAGGCCAAGGCCCCGAACCCCAAAATAGGCCACAAAACCCCAAGGCCCAAGGCTAGATCTCAGACCCTGAAGCCTCTACCTGGTTGGAATTGGGGAGTTTAAGAGCCTCCCCGATTCCAGCTCCCATTCATCACAGGAGCTCATGCGCGATCTTCAACTTCGAAGGGCCCGTGGCTTTGTTCTTCAGGGTTTCATAGTAGAGGCCATAGGCAAAGTTGGAACATTATAACCCTCATGCCCCTAAGGTATAACGGATCCTAGCACCAATCATCCTAAGGTTCGCTGTAGGTCGGAGGCCTGGGTGTTTTTTTGATGTGAGCGGGCTTAGCAGTGCAGTTTCCTGAAAGGCTTGTGCAAGGGGCCGACACATGATCCCAAAAAAGCTCTTTATGCCGGAGGTCTCCCAACAGAAAGCATGGTACTTCTGTCTGATTGGAAAATGAGAGGCTTTTGACTCTTGACGGTTTGGGGTCGTCTCCAGTTCGATTGACTGCCAAGGCGATCATAATATCTGTGATTGTGATACTAACTGACGAGATTTATGATGACCAGCATGGCTTTGCTCTGGATTCCAAGTATGCCTTGTCGAGCTACAGGCCCGTTACGACGACTTCAATACTGAGAGGCCGCGGGAACATTTCGGGAGGTTTGGTATGGTTTTGCGGTGCTGGGGTGTATAGCGCCGGGTGCTTGTGCCGGTGGAGCATAGATTTCAAGATAATTTTTACATTGACACGCAGACACACGTGTACGCAAGTACCGTATCCTAGGCAGCCCATGGAAGAATAGTGTGCTGCTTCACTTTCGGCAATGCCTAGCTGCTAGCTGATGAACATATCCAAATGCTGATGTGTTTTGCTGTCAAGATTTGTACACCGAGTCATCAGATTGTCCTGCTTGTCGTCTTTATTCAAGTCTCATGTATTGGTCTCTCCAGAAGTGACGTTGCACAGTTGAGCTTGGCACGGAAGACCGCACACAGGGAGTAGTTCCGAGTTGACGGCAGTCATCAAGCCCGTTTTTTGAACCAATTGCCGACATGACGAAAGATTATAGTGAACATGCTATGGCATCGCCAGCAAGATGGAAATAATGGCATAGCTCTGTCATCAGCAGACTTCCCACCTCTCAGTGGTAACTTTGTCCAACTCTGCAACCAGGCAAACAGGCAGCCAGAATGAATCCACAGGCTTTGCTCGGTGCGCGATGTCATCAAGAGCTTCTCACAAACGGCAGACGACATTGTTGTTCGGGCTTAGAACTGGATTGTGCTATGCTGTACATAGATTATGCCGAATTATACCGACATTATACCACACTACACTACACTACGCCTGCATGATCGACAGGAGTGCCGCATGGACACACCTGCAGCAGTCGTTGCAAGGGCTGCAGGCCACCCTCGCGTGTGGGCCTCAACCTTCTGGAGTTTCGGGTTTTGGGGTTTGGGGTTTTTGGGTTTGGGGTTCTGGGGTTTGGGGTTTTGGCAGAATTTGGCCACGAAGGCCTGAACCAAGGCTTGCCCGATCGTTGGCATGACGACCTGTAGGTGTTGCCCGCCAGGGTTTCGAGGAAAGGACAGCTTCCCACCCAGCCCAACCGAAATCGAATTTCGGAAAATGCAGAGACCATAGTATAGACTACCCGAGGCACGAGACAGGAGGACCCTTAGTATGAGGAGCCTTATAGCAGGTATTCCTATATTCATAAAGAGCCCTTTTTTCGTAGGCAAAGCCTAAGCCCGCCAAGGGCGACTCTCTCCCAGAAGAAGTCGCTCCAAAACACGCTGCTCACACAAGACTGGCGGCACCGGCCCGAGCTGCAGCCGTTTCTGGTACCACGGCTGTTGCAGGGTTTAAGGCTTCAGGGATTTAACATTTACGGTGTGTGTTTGGGGTTAAGCCACAACGGCTCAACTAGCTAGCATCACTGTTGTCCTTGCTATTTGGCGTCGAATGCTGCAGGCATCGCTGCTGTACTCTACTGACCACCATCAGTTTGATGTTCATCGGGTGAATGTTTCTTTCATGCATTACCTTCCTTACTAAGTCTACTGCCTCCCCTGTCATGTCGCTGTTGTTGTTGCCGTTTTGCTTCTGCTTTTTGTCTGTTTGTGATGGTTGTTGTTCTTGCGCTTGCTGTTGCTCGCTTGCTGTTGCTTGGGCTGCCGACTTAGAAGGGCTCTGCCACAGCACCCAGGTCAACGAGGATCCCCAGTGATGGCCCGAGGAATTCTGCAGCGATTGAGTCGTGCGTTAGCCTCGACCTGTCGACAGCATTGGCGTGATCCCGCTTCCTTTGGACTCTCTTCGAGCCGTGGTTTCTTGTTTAGGCTCAGAGCAGAGCTTCGCTGGTAAACCAGCCGAGTCGCGTGCCTGGTAGTGTTCGAGGCCAATTCCGGGAGCAGCAGCTTGCTGTGGCGGCATGTCCTGTGAGCAAAAGCACCCGCCTTGGGTGAGAACAACTCCACTTTGTGACGCTGCACTGGTTTCGATGTCGAACTGTGTTCGTGGTTTCCCTCAATTTTCGGTGTTCAAAGCTTTCTTGAAGTGCTTCTCTCATTCCAACAGTTTCATGGAGATAGATGTGCATTGTGGTTAAGATCTATTTCTGCTGATATGATGATGAGCGCTGTAATGTTGGCTTTGGTGACGTTATCTATTACGACCTCATCGTCATCGTAGTGGGGGGCGACGCGAGGTAGTGGTAGTGATGACTGTTGCCATCATAATGAGGACGCGCTGAGCGTTAGACGATTGCGAGGGCGATTATGATGCTACTCTAGCCCTGCAGAGGTCTTTGTTGAACTATTCAGTGGGCTGCGCTTGTCGCAGGTCAGTCGTTGTCCAGGTTTGTACACACATGATTGCAGGCTGTGGTGCCGCACTGAAGCGTTCGAAGCTCGTAGTTGAAGACCTACAACAGCTCCGGGCTTCCTTGCGACACTCAAGATCGCAAACCATTTATTTACAAACACAATGATCCGATAATGTCTGCAAGCCATGAAACAGAAACACCCAAAACCACGACAGCCCAGTTCTACTCTCCTTTTGTTCTAAGGCCTGCAGACAAGCCTCACGAATTTCCTAGAGATCAACTTTGCATCGACCGACGACCTCAGGGCCCGGATTGTGGGTTTCGTGTGCGCGTGTGTGTGGGGTTTAGGGCTTAGGTACGGCTATGGGGTTGGGCATTGGGGTTTTCGGATTTAGGGCTAGTATTTCGCTGAAACCAAAAAAGCTCGATTATTTCGGCCTGGGGTTGGGGTTCTGGCTTTGTAGGTTTGGGGTATTCATTTTCGTTTTGGAGCGTTGGGTTCTGTATCTGGCAGCAACACCTAAACTTGCATACGACCCACAGCAGCCGAGTAGACAGAATCGTTCAAGATGCCTATAAGGGAAAAATATCCTTCTCTATCTTTCTACAAGTATACTATAATGATTCCTCGAAGCCTTGTTGAATACGTTACCGCCTCTGGCTCTGCTCGGAGAGGTAAGCACTGAGAACCTGATCGAGCTGCTGCCGGCCATTGTCTAAGCCTCAGGCAGATGGCGGCCTGTAAGGCATATAGGATATATCGGGCTTATGTCATGGGGGTAAGGGGGAGGGGGGTAGGGGTAGAACGGTATACTCCCGGCTTAGGCTTTACTAGGTCCTCATTGCAGGTACAAAGGCCCCCTACCCCACTCCCCCCTACCCCCCAAGTGTCTTCTTCATGATGATAAGGTTCGGGCTTAGGAAAGTTCAGGGTTCATGTTATGGCCCCTTTGCAGGACTTGTAACTAGCTGCTTGTGCCATTGTGCTGGAGGCATGGCACGGGTTTAGCACATTTTGAGCCTTTGGTCCATTTGGAGAGGTTGCTGCGACGTAGTCTGCAACTCTTGGCACATAGAAGGCTACAGCCTGGCGAGAAAGACTTCAACTGGAGGCTGTGTAGCAGCAAAAGACAGCAACGTATATCCATCTCCGTCTGGGAATTCATAAAGTGCGCAGGAGTTCCTCGCAACCGACCCAAGCAACGGAAGAAAGGAGCATTTCACTGGGTGGTGCTTTCCGGAAGACCGAAGACTTTACACATGTTGTAGCTTGAGACTGAGCCAATGCTTCTGCCACCGACCTAGCGGAACTGCTTCCCATCCGAAGGCTTTGCACCGCATACGTTTTCAGAACGCACCTTCTCGCAGAAGCACTCGCAAAAAAAGGTCCCTCGAAATGCTCCACTGTCGCGCCGCGAAGCTCGTACTTAGTACACTGAGTCCCAGGTAACACCCGCAAAAAAGCTGAAGTAGGCTGGGCCAGAATCTTTGAGGCCGGACTTGTTGTCTTCTTCCAGCTCGACCCACCGACGGATGTCGTGGGCTCGGAGGGCCTGCAGGTGATTCAGGGCTGGCCGTCTGAATCATACACTTCAGCGTGTGGATCGGTGATCTGGTCTTGCGTTTTGGCTTGGAAGGCTGCCAATCCAATAAAGAGATGTGACAAGTGACAAACAAAGCAAGGGCTTTGCCCCAGCTTCCCCGACTTCGGTCCCTCGGCCCTCGACACTGAGGATCTAGACTCTGACTCAAGCGCAGTACCCTCGCAGCTTTCTTGCTCTTCGTGGTAGCCTGTGTCTTCTTCTTGTTGCCTGTCAGCCTGCTCAGACTGGCAGTTCAATCTTCGCTGTTGCCGTTGCTGGCCTCATTGTTGCTAGCATTGTGGATGGCATTACTTTCCAAGATGAGATGCCACGCAACAGCATAAACACCCCTAGGGCCAGTAATCCTGCTGCCGCTCGTGCTTGCATTTTGCATTGCTGCTGCCACTACTTATCTTTACAACCCTTTGCAAAGAAAGTGTAGTGCTGCTGGCTTACGGTCGGCGGACGTTGGCTTTGTGTCCGCAAGTTTTGGGTCTGTGGCTAGGTGTTCCGTTGCAGGAGGGGTTGAGAAATTTAAATAGTTCGGGGTGGGGCGTGTATGTGTGCATGTGTCATTTTTGAGTTATCAAGAGCTGTGGCATGGAGTTTCATTAGGCGTCAAGACGCCTGTTTGAATTTTAGTGTTTCAGATGTGGCTGGGATATTCGAGGGTGTTTGCAACTTAGGAGCATGCTCGAAGTTTTCATATTGTTATTATTGTTATTCGCATTATCATTTTGAGCGTCGCAGGAAGTCTTCGAATTGCATCGTTCAGGAGTCTTCAGTCTGTAGCAGTCGCAACCGTGAGGTGTTTCAGCTCCATGACCGCAGAGAGGACATCCTTTGTCCGGGGCCTGGTCCTATGAACATATGCTGGTACAGGGTTCATTTTTTCTATACATATTTATACTTGTGTATATATTATATTTGTTTATTTGTTTGTTTAACACATGTATGATATATATATATATATGTCGTACCCGTATATGTATGTATATATATATATACATATGCATGTGCGGGATGACTGAAGTCTTGGACCAAGTCACTTAAGTTTAAGAGCCAAGCCAGGACTGGGAATACATCTGTGCTGGTCTCCCATCCAGATGCAGTGTACAGCAGCTGGTCGCCATCGTGCATAATTAGCCGGCATGCCGACTCGTGCGCATGCTTCGTTGCGCCAGCTGTGACAGCCCCCACAGCGACTAAACTTAACAGCTCCTGGACACCGTGGAATGAAGGCTGGAGTGTCACAGTCTTGTGCCTTGCGAACAGTCTTGCTTTTGGAAGCCTCCTGCCCTCAGAGAGGTTTCATTCTCTGGTATGCGACGATTCAGGGTTTCAACGCTTGCTCTTAGTTTCGGACTCTATGGGATCCGATGTTCAGGGGTTGGAAGGTCAAAGGGTATATGGGCTGCCTCAATGTCAATATGGTATTGAAGGATCCGGGATGTGTGTGCATCGAAATTGCATCAGAATACGAAGCAACCCCTGCTCAACGAGCCCACGAGGGCCCTACAAAAGAGCGGTCCTGCCAGAGCTGAACAAAGGCTTCTGGCCTCAGCTGATGGCCGTGGTTGACAATGCGTCACCTCCCATAGGTGCACTGAGTTTGAGGGGGGATGTGTGGGTGTGTGTGTGTGTATGTATATATATATATATATGGTTGTTTGCTTGACTGAGGGCTTGGGCGCGTTTGAGTTTAGTTGAGTTGTCAAGGTTAAGGCTTTTGGGTTTCCAGGTTTTTGCGTAAGAGTCTGGCGCTTAGCATGTGAGCCGCGTCCCATGCCTTGGGCACTGAGAGGGTGTGCAGTCCAGCTGGAAATTGACTCTCGAGCTCGCATGGAGCAGCTGCAACTTTCCGTAGAAGATGGACCCGTTCGTGCCGGCTGGGGAGCTACAGATAGCACGTCCAGCTTCTCTGGAAAGTGTTGTTTCGCCAAGTGTTGCAGCGCTATACACGGCTGTAGCGAGAACGTTCTTTCTAGGGGGTTAGCCAGTCTCCGGTCTTATGGTACACCTTGGTAACACCTAAGCTCGAGTTGAGGGGTTGAAGCCGCCAGCATGGCATCCCGCCGGAGCCTTGCCATGTCTTTGCGATCCTGCCGGGCAGTTGCGCGCCATCTTTCGGCGTCGAGCGTCAGGCTGCGGAAGTTCGTGAAACTGTCGTAGACATGGTGCAAGCCCCACTGCATGAGCTCCGCTGCTTGCCTCGGCAAGTGACGGTGCGTGAAGATTTCTTTGGTATCTATCCACGATCTAAAGTTTGCCATTCCACGTTCTGTGGAGGATCGGAGAGGGTGGGGCCAGCAGAAGTTGAGTTCAAACAATTTTAGACTTATGAAACATAAAGTCCGTTCATCCCCCGCCAAAGTTAGTTGTTAGACGTTGTCAGTGCTAATTGAAGCCAGAGGTCTGCACCCTTAAGGGGTCGGCAGCTGCGCAGCCTGGGCGGTGTACCCTTCGACATGTCATCAATGCAAACTATGGAGGCGCAACAGGGTTTTGGGTGGAGGTATTTCGATGCGAAGAAAATCAGGTTGGGTTAACGGGGTTTTGGACATCCGTAGCATTTCTCTTCCCCATCTCCTCCAAGCCTTCAGCGATGGATTGTTCATGTGAGGATTGCGTGGGGGAGACCCCCCTGGTCCGACTGCAGCGCATGCTTCCTGCAGACAGCGGCTCTGTGGTGCTGTGTGCCTTAGCTGATGGCGTGGGTGTGGTTCAAAGATCTTCAACGATTAATTTCAGCTTCGCTTAGACTTCCCCACAGTGTTTGGGTAGGGCAAGGATCGAAGTTCGCTTGGTTGAGATCCTTTGGAGCACAAGGCTTGGGCAATGATGCTGGATATCCCGGTGCGTGGTTGCGTGATGTCTCAGCATGCCGAAGAGCACAACAAGTGAAAGAACAGGTAGGGTTCGGAGCCTCAACCCCTACAGCCCTAAAGCCGTGCCTATGATGAGTCGACAGCCGGGCCAGAAGGCAAGCTTGAGGGCGACAATCCGGCTGGCAGCGTCAAGGACCGGGCTGCGCTATCCATGATCAGGCCATCAGAAACACAAGGGATTCTTGAGTTGGTTAGTTAGAGTGCTTGGAGATATTGGTGTTTCGGGAAAAGCTTGGTCAGACAAGACATGCTGACACGGGAAGTGATTCGAAGTTAAAATCTGCAGCCGCCCGTCGTGCTGCGCTTACTACTTAGAGTCGCCGGACAACTTTCTGAGTTGGGGGATGGGCCGAGCGTGGGAGAAGCAGTTTTTTGAAGCCCCTCCATCGTCCTTTCCAACCAGCCCGCACAAGTCTAAAAAAGAGTCTAAAACTGGAAGATCCTAATTTTCTTCCGGTCTAAACGAACACCGTATCTTCCCTGCAACCTTATCTTCAATCAGACTACAAACCAAACTCAAACACGCTTCGATGCGCACATAGGTGTATTGCCGCAGCCTGTCAGCTCTTCCTCACCAGCGATTTCGCCAGCATCCTGCAACAATAGCAAGAGCAGTAGTACCACCACAAGCAGCTTCATCATCACCATCAAGATTCACCTGGACCGCTACCTTGTGTCCATCTTCACCTGCATCACAGCCTGTGCATCGTCATCACTCCTGTGCAAGATCAGACACACTTCGACCATCAAGCATACTTTCTGCACGAGGCGCGCGGAGGCCGCGGGCCGGATTAAACCCGGGGACACGCTGATCGAGGCCACATCTGGCAACACTGGCATTGCCCTAGCAGCCATCAGTGTCTCGAAGCGATACTCGGTTTTTTGTCGTTTCGTTCTCCATTGCCGGGCAGCAGGCAGCAGACCCCTAAACCCTCAACGTTGCCACCTTTGTACTCGCGTAGGTGAGAGGATGTAGGAGCTACGGCCCCGGTCGGGGAAAGGGGGACGACATAGCCAGAGCTCAGGTGCGATCAAAGGCTACAAGCTCAAGCTGATCATGCCAGAGAACATGAGCCTGGAGAGGACGGAACCTGAGATTTGTGTTTGTGGCTTTGATGTGCTGCTGCAATGAATGTCCCCAACAAAGCGCCAAACCCCACAACGTGCGACTCTCCAAAGCCAGAGTCTTCAATCTTCGCCTCCGCGGCCTTAAGCTGCTGCAGGGCTCCCATTCAGTGCCTTCTGCACCCTTTGAACAAACGGAGCCATAGGGGTCCTTGGATGCAGGCGCACGAGCATGGCTGTTTATGGCGCGGAGCTGATCCTGGTATCCACCGGTGCCATGGAGGAAGCGCCTCTTCAAGTAATTATGTGAGAGGAACAGCTGTTTATGCAGCTCAGGGATCCCCAAACACCCCGAGGGTGTTTGTGTATACATATATATATATATTATATCTGCCTGCCTGCCTGCCTGCCTGCCTGCCTGCCTGGCTGCCTGCCTGCCTGCCTGCCTGCCTGCCTGCCTGCCTGGCTGGCTGGCTGGCTGGCTGTCTGTCTGTGTCTGTCTGCATGCATGCATGCATGCATGCATGCATGCATGCATGCATGCAGTGTA